TTTGGTGGGACTCCAAAAATGATATGACTATTATGGAAAATTGTATGCCATTTCCTTAAAAAACTGAAAATATAAATACCATTTGATCCAGCAATTTCATTACTAGGAATATATCCTAAAGAGGCGAGAGACAGGACACAAAGAGACATATGCACACCCTTGCAGGACAATACACTATAGCAAAGAAGTGGAAATAACCTAAATGCCCATCAACAGATGAATGGATAACCAAACTATGGTACATTCACACAATGGAATACTATGCTCTATTAAAGAATAATGAAGAATATGTGAATCATTTCACAACATGGATGAATTTGGAGGACATTATGCTGAGTGAAAAAAGTCAATTGCAGAAGGACAAATATTATATGAGCCCATTATTGTAAAAAGTCAAGGAAGGATTTACTTAGAGAAGGGAACTCACTTTGTAGGTTACTGGGGATGGGAGGGAAGGAGAGGGAAAATTTCAAGACTAGTTGGGTGTCACATATAGATTTGGGTACGGTGCAGGACGGTATGGTAAGAGTCTTGTGACCAGCATGATGATGCTGGGGAAAGGAAGGACACTGAAACATGCACATAAGATAATGCAAAAACGGCAAGGAGGCCACATGTTCTGATCTCCTCTAATCCCGCAAGAGGAAGACAGGATTACCAGCAGTAACCCAAGGCCTATTACTGCAAGGCTAGACATGCTGCCTCCCTCCAGTCCTTTCTCCAACCGTTCCTCCCAAAGCACCACCACCTCTCTCCTGGGTTCAATAATTCGCTGCAGTGGCCACACAGAACTCACCGATTATAAGGTTTATTAGGGAAGCACCAGACTACAATTCAAGTTCAGGAAGAACACTCACTCTCTCTCCCAGCCCACCGTCCCTCAGCCAACAGTCTCTCACAGTCTCTCTCCCAGAAGTGCATGTCCCTCGGTGTCTCACTCAGCAATGCGTGTCTCTTGCGTCTCTTTCCCAGCAGCACGTGTCTCTTTCAGGAGCGTGTCTCTTTCGGCAGCATGTCTTCCTCAACCAGCAGTCAGAGAGTTCTGCCTGTAGGAGGCCTCCTTTTGAGCTTGGCAGAGTGGCCAAACCAACCAATCATAACAACAGAATTCTAAGCACCTGAGAGTGAGCCTCCCATAACATTGCATTGTGCCACGCCCAACAGAAAAGCCCAGGTAGATAACATTTACAATCAGGAGCCCTCAATTGCTCATTCCACCACTGAGTTTACAATGAATTATGGGTAGAAAAGCCATACTAAGTAATTTACTACACTGCAGATAAAGACAACAGAGGCAAATACTAGTATATGCACAATATTCCATTACCACTAACCCCAAACAACAGGCATAGACAACTGAGAAGATCAGGTGGAGGTCGGCAAACAGGAATGAACCCTAGACCTAACTGAATATAGATTTAGCTGAAGAGGAGTCCTGGTAGCGTAGTGCTTAAGGCACTTGACTGCTAACCAGAAGCCTGGGGGTTCAAACCCACCAGCCACTCCTCAGAAGGAAGATGGGGCAATCTACTTCCATAGTGATACCGCCTTGGAAACCCAAGGAGGGGTCACTATGAGTCGGGTCTGACTTGACGGCACATAACAACAACAACAAGACCAGAAGAACTAAATGGTGCCTGGCTACCAATGCCAACCACTTGGGAAGGGATCAAAAGTGGAGATCCTAGATAGAGTGGGAGGAAAAATGTGGAACAAAATTAAATAGACAAAAATGACCAGTATTACTGGTCGGATAGAGTCTGGTGAAACCCCCAAGACTATGACCCCTGGATACCCTCCAGGCCTAGGACTGGACTCACTGCCAACAGTAGAAAGACGTACATGTACAACACCCACCCTAGGGCGATGCACCTGTCTACTCTGGGGAGATACACTCCTTAGAGCAATTGGCCATGGGGCATCAGAGGGACAGCACTCCCATAGAGGGAAAGATGAGCTGACAGGAGTGCATAGTTCAGAAGGGCACAGGGAGGGAGTGGTTACAGGGAAGGGAGGGGAAGAGAGTGCATTATGGTTGGAGATGATAATCTGGGCGTGAAATCAAATGTACATGAACTGTTGAATGCAAAACAAATTTTGCTCTGTAAATTTGCACCCAAAGCACAATCAATTTAAAAAATAAAACACTAGCTTAATGCAGGACGAAAAAAAAAACCAAAATCACCTTGATTTCCCCCCGCCCCCCCAGCAAGAAAGAGTGATAACAGGTGATCATTTAGAAGCTTTATGGCTTATACAATATATGTGTGGGCTGAAATGAGGTTGGATAAGTTCCCTCAATTATCTGGATGAATCAGGCAAAGTTTTTGGTACTTAACCTCCAAAACAGTTTAATCCACTACCTGTGAATGGCAAGTCTTGAATTTTTTTTCAAAATGATCATCAATAATAGACTTACCTATCATGTGTGAATTGAAAATGTGTATTAAAATACGGTTCACTTAGCAAAAGACCAAGCAACTGATTGGAATATGCTTTATCTCCCAGTTTCCCTATCTGTAAAATGGGCATAACAACAGTAGCTACTGCATAGAGTTGTTGTGAGGATTAATCTAATAATACAAATAAAATATTTAGAACAGTCTTGGCAGGTCCTAAACACTTAACTCTATGTTGCCTGTTATACTGTTATTAATAATTATAAGCATAAAGTAAGTAACATTGTATACCAATAAGGAAAGATAAAAATTTCCAAAGGTGTGTAACTCTAAATCTGCCAGACAATCTGTTATTAGAAGGCTATGGTTTTATTTAAAATTGAGACTGGGAAATAGAGTAAAACTTTCCTATTCAAAATATGTAGTTCATGGGCAGCAGCATTGACATCAACTGGGGGCTCATTAGAAATGGAGCCTCTTGAAGGGCCTCTTCCAGACCTAGCAAATCATAATCTGCATTTTAACAAGATGCCCAAGTGACTCTCATGCATATTAATGATTGAGACACTGTTCTGAATCTTGTTTGTTGTTGTTGTTTGCCGTTGAGTCGGCCCGACTCATAGCCACCCCTCCTTGGGTTTCCGAGGCAGTCTCACTACGGAAGTAGGATTGCCCAACCAGTAGCTTATTATTCAATAAGTCTTTGTCTTCAGGTTATAGTATTGAATGATATGTTTATATATCTAATTTTATATTTCTTTAAAAATTAAACTAAGAAATCTTCATTTCTTTTATATATCTCACTGCCGTGGAGTCAGATCCGACTCATAGTGAGTGTTTCAGAGGCCATATCACTACGGCAGTAGATCACCCAAACTTCCTTCCCAGGAGTGGCTGGTGCTTTGAACCACCAGCCTTCTGATTAGCAGTCAAATGCCTTAGGCACCAGAGCTCCTTTACAACTGTCCAGCAGGAATTAAAAATAATCACTGAAAAAGAAAAGGCTAGAAGGGAAGGATGTTTGAGTTTCATCATTTTCAGGGTATATAAACATGTTCCCAGGCCCAGTTCCCCACCAAGCCAAAAGGAAACTAAAAGGAAATCACAATGTTAACCTCAATTATCAGCTGGTATATTTCCATAGTCCCCTACTTCATGGCCATGAACCTCTATCCAAACAGATCTTTCTAGAATTTCCATTTTAATTTCATTTTGACAATTCTGAATAGAGTAAAATGATAGACAATAGTTTTATCTAAATCTCAATTCCCAGGCTAATTGTTATTATTTATTTATTTTTACTGATTCAGACAATCACAAATATTAAATGTAAACAGTTCTGAGAATGAAAAATTCCTTCCCATTCCTACTTTAAAATGAAAATATCAAAGGAAGAATAAAGCTTACTTAATACATTTGGTTGTTACATTAGCCACATGAAATGAATTGTTGCAATCTGCCTTTTGGTTAAGTGTGCAGAATTATGAAGAATCTGGCACCGTATTTAGATAACAACCACACATACACGCTATGCAATTCGCAGATACATTGCTTCAGATATTTTGACTTCAGTGAAAATATGAAAAGTATGTTAAGGAAGGTGTTTCTGGGGACTGAAGCTGTCCCTTTTTAGCCTTCAAGTAATTTTTAGATGTGAATAAAAGTAAAAATTGAAAGGCCTTCGTAGATACTTCAGGATTCTTATAGAAAGAAGCCCTGCAACATAAAATAAAACCCAAAAGCTTTATGCGTATTCTTTCAAGGCTTTAGTTACCTGAGAAAACTGCTCCGTGGAAGAACTGAAAATATCTAAAGAAAACTTGAGGACTTCCGAGCAGGGTTTCACTAAATTGCCGAGAGGCAGAGTTTTAGGCAGTTCCGAATTTAAGTATTTTATTTTCTTCTTTTAAACCTTGGCCTGGAGGTGAGGGAACAGAATTAGGCGGCGCGGTAGGATTCTGGGTGACTATGCAACTCTAAGGAGCTCTGGTAGTGTAGTGCCTAAGGCACTTGACTGCTAACCAGAAGACTAGCGGTTCCAACCTACCAGCCACTCCTCAGAAAGAAGATGGGGCAATCTACTTCCGTAGTTATACGGCCTCGGAAACCCAAGGAGGGGACACTATGAGTCGGGTCCGACTCGATGGTACAGAACAACAACATGCAACCCTAGGATCTAGGTATCCAACTTGTTCTGAGGGGCCAAAGACAAGACTGACGGCAAGAGAAACTCACTTTCGAAAGGCACTTTCCAGTTACAAAGCACTCTCACATTCTTTATTTCATCGGACACAGTATCCTTTTTGCTGGCCTCCAGCGTCCACAAAAATAAGAAGCCCAACTTCAGGGCATCTTGAAATGAGGATCCCAAGGCCTTGCCGCAAACCCGTTCTTGCAGTGCCGCCACCCGCCCCACCGACCCCCTCCGCGCCGGCGGGCGCGCACGTCATTCGCTCGCTGCCAATCGGCGCCTGGCAGGTCACTTTTCCTCTAAGGTCGGCAGCCCCGCCCCAGCCCGCCGCGGGGACCTGGTCAGAGCGCGTCGCGCGCCCGCTGGCCGCTTCCGCTCTAGACGCAGGAGCTGCAGCTGGGCCTGAGAACGGAGGGGGCTCGGGAGGGGAGCGGACGCCGTCGGCGAGGATGGTGCTGGAGAGCGTGGCCCGCATTGTCAAGGTGCAGCTTCCTGCGTATCTTAAGCGGCTTCCAATCCCCGAGAGCATTACCGGGTTCGCTCGGCTCACAGGTAAACTGCCTCATCATCCAGTCCCTATCCTTACGCGCGCCCCAAGGCAAGGTGTGGTGGTGGTGGTGTAAAATCTTTAGGCCAAGGGGCGGGGTGGGGTTGGGCGAGCGACGCGTGACCCTTGACCTCGAGCTGTGGGAGGTGAGGCGCGCGCCGGCGCAGCCGCCTCCAGAGCATGTGGTGGCACTGCTATGCGTTGGGCGCTCCTCTCTCAGCTGTCTCCGATATCCTGTCGTGGTGAGGGACCGATTTTTTCAGACGAGATGCCGATTTGGAAGCTGGGCAGGCTCGTCTGCATATAGTATCTGTCCTGTATATCGCACTCTACGCCATGCTTTATTCTAAAGCAGACCAAGTCGTTGTTAAGGCTCTATGTAACAAGCAGACCCTGCTCACCGCTGGATATCACTCGTGTGGATGTGAATGAGTGTGCTGGGGAGAAATAATTACATAGTACATTAACAAATATATGTTGTTGTTGTTTGCCGTCGAGTCGACCCCGACTCATAGCGACCCCTCCTTGGGTTTCCGAGGCAGTATCACTACGGAAGTAGGATTGCCCAACCTTCCTTCCGAGGAGTGGCT